TATTTCTTGAGAACGCTAAAATAGTAACATGAGACTCCAAGATATCCTTGTATTAACAAAACAGTATAATATCAAATATAATCATTTACTTTGTGCTATTTCTTAAAAACCAACATTGTGTCATATATCTAATAAAAATAAAATTCCAAGAATTACTTGTGAACTCGTATGCTTATATAAATTTGTAGAAAAACAACAGAATTATCTAAGCATACTGATTATTGCACGATTAAAAACCACATGTAGGCAAATTTATTAACATTTTATTATTAAAAAAATGTATGATTAACGCGGTCTTCGCGATTCAAAGATTCATCATTCACTTCCCTGGGCCAACCCGACTGTTGTGTATTTAGTATTTTACTTAAATAAGGTAATAATTATTAACACAACGTGGTTTTACATCATTATTCCCCACGTAATACGGAATCAAATTGATTACATAATGGTGAACAAGAGATTTCGTAATGGATGCCTATCAGTTAAGAGTTACCCAGGTGCTGACGTATCATCAGATCATGTTCCTGTTGTTGTTAAATTTAGGTTTAGATTCAAGAAGGTCCCAAAAAAGAATAGTAACAAAAAGTGCGATATGAGAAGACTAAAAGATAACAAAACAAAAGAAACAATCGCACGGATTCTTTCAGAAAAGCTAAGTAATATGGAGCAAACATATAATGCCGAAGAATCACTCCAAAATATATGTGAATCCTTTAACAAGATCAGAGAAGAACATCTAATAGAAAAGAAAGATAAGAAAAAAAGTTGGATAAATGACAATATACTGCAACTTATGGAAGAAAGAAGAAAATCAAAGAACAACAAAATAATGTACAACAAGATTTAGAGACAAATAAAAACCGAAATACGAAAGGCCAAAGAAAATTGGTTAAAATCACAGTGTGAAGAGATAGAGTTGTTACAACAAAAACATGATACGTTTAACATGCATAAAAAGTTGAAACAAGCAGCTGGTCTTCAGAAATCCAACACAGCTAACAAACTGCGAGGCCAACAGGGGAAAATTATCACAGACAAAAATCAAGAAATCCGCATATGGACAAAATACATACAAGAACTCTTTGATGATACTAGATCCGAAAAACCTCCATCCTACATATGTGATGACCATTTACCAATCACATCAGATGAAGTGCAAAAAGCCATATTACAACTAAAAGATGGCAAAGCTCCTGGACCTGACAATGCATATGCTGAGCTCATAAAACTGTTTAACACCGACGGTATTCAACATCTAACAAAAGTATTTAATGACATATATTTAAGCGGAGTAATACCAATAACATGGCTGAAGTCGACCTTTATTGCTTTACCAAAGAAAACAAAATCCGTATACTCCTTACTTACTCCGTGGCGTTACAACCCTTCGTGGGTTTTAGCCGACTCGACAACATGCCTCCACTGTTTTCTGTCTTGAGCAACCTCCATCCAATTCTCCACGCCCATAGTGCTTAGGTCTCCTGCTATATTATCTCGCCACCGGAGACGAGGGCGTCCGCGTGGTCTCCTTCCAGTTGGGACTTCTGCCACACCAGTCTTACTGTTCGACAAAATCCGTATCCTGCAGTGATTTCCGAACCATGAGCTTAATGAGTCATATTTTAAAATTATTTCTAAAAATCATACATCAAAGGATACATAGACTGTGCGAAGAAAAAATCAGCCGTACACAGTTTGGTTTTCGGAAGGCAGTGGGTACGAGAGAGGCTTTTTTTAGTATACAAGTGCTATTTCAACGATGTAGAGACGTGAACTGCGACATTTATGCGTGCTTCATTGACTACCATAAAGCATTCGATACTGTAAAGCACGACTAGCTGATGGAGACATTAACCAATATTGGAATAAACACCTGTGATTTAAGAATTGTCAGCAATCTGTACTGGAATCAAACATCATCTATCCGGAACGTGGCGTCCGTCAGGGATGTATACTATCACCACTGTTGTTTAATATATACTCTGAGGAAATCTTTCAAAAAGCAGTGGGTGATGTTGAAGCCGGAATTCGAATCAACGGAGAATCTATCAATAACATTAGATACGCGGACGACACGGTAGTATTCGCGGACAGTTCTGAAACCCTCCAGAGTTAGTGAACAGAATCACAGAGGTCAGTCAGAGATACGGACTTTCACTAAACACTAAGAAAACAAAATGCATGATGATCTCTAAGAAGGAACAGCAATTTGGACAAATCAGTGTCAAACGGTCAACAAATAGATAGAGTAAAAACATACACCTACCTTGGTACGAACGTCTATGAAAATTGGGACCATTCCATAGAAATCAAATGTAGAATAGAAAAAGCAAGATCTGCATTTCAAAAAATGGCTAAGTTATTCAAATGTTATGATTTATCAATGTCCATAAAAATCAGGTTTCTACGATGTTACATCTTTCCTATACTGTTGTACAGAGTTGAGTCATGGACTCTCACAGACGCCACCTGCAAGAAAATTGAGGCTTTTGAAATGTGGCTTTATCGTCGCATCCTGAAGATATCGTATACCTACCACGCTACTAATGAGGGTGTTCTGTTGAGAATGAAAAAAGAAAAAGAGCTGTTAACCACAATAAAAACAGCCAAAATCGAATACCTCGGTCACATCATGAGGAACAGCGAAAGATATGGACTGCTGCAACTAATCTTGCAGGAAAAAGTAGAAGGAAAACGGGGACCAGAAAGGCGAAGGATTTCCTGACTGAAAAATCTACGAACGTGGTTCAACACAACAACCACAAATCTTTTTAGAGCAGCAGTGTGCAAAGTGCAGATTGCCATGATGGTCGCCAACATCCGAAACGGATAGGCACTACAAGAAGAAGAAGATTTCCCATTAACTAACTCACTTCATTCCCTTGTGTCAATGAGCGGTGTTGCCTACATGTGTTGCCACGTATATAACACCTCCTCTCTTGACCAAAATTCACAAATACAGTTTGAAATAAAGATGTACTTACAAATTCATCCTCTGAACAGGTTTATGTACTCTACTTGAACGTCTTACGACTGCTTCAGCTTCAGTGTGAGCCTCAGGTACTGTTGGCTCTATTGTATCATTTAGAAGTTCTTGTACATTTGTAGGTGGTGAAACGGAATTTGGTTCAGGGACAGATATCTCCCTTGGAACTATACTATGTGTAACTGTATCAGGAATTAAACAAGTTGGGTTATATTCTATAGGTGTATCCTGTCCAATTACTCTAATTTGGTCAATATGACGTCTCCACGTCCTACCATCATCTAACTCAACTAAATAATGTAATACCATGTAATGCCATTTTGCATTGAAGTAATCTCGCACTGAGACTCTGGTATCAAGAGCAACATTTCTAAGACTCTGGTCTGTGTAAGCATTTTTGTCATGAGTTAAAGGTTTAAGTAAATCTAATTTATTTCTAATCTGTCTTCCTCCTAGCATACGTTCAAAAGTGCTTTTGCCAGTTACTGTGTGAGGTGTTCTACGATAATGCATTAATAACTTGCACGATTGAAGTTCTCTGTCTTTCTCTTCACTGTGCTAAGCTCGCAGGCAATTTTTTAGCGTTTGAACGTATCTCTCTCCCTGGCCATTCGTTGCTGGGTGATAGGGTGCAGTAAATTTATGTGTAATACCATTATTTTTCATGAATTCTCTAAATTCATGAGAATCAAATTGTCTACCATTATCAGTAACAAATACTGTGGGTATTCCGAAAGTAATGAAGATTTTTCTACAAATTTCAATTGTAGTTTTTGTAGTAGTGTCTTTCGTGAAATGTATTTCAGGCCACTTACTAAAAGACTTGACTAAAATGAAGTAATAGCCTCCGTTAAAAGGTCCAGCATAGTCAGCATGTACTCTTTCGAAGCAAAATTTAGGTGTTTCCTAGATGTGCGAATCGTCTTTAACAGAGTTGTTTGTGTGCTTGTTGCAATGAAAACAATTTTTACATAAAGACTTAATATCCTTGTCTATGAGAGGCCACCAGCAGTAACTCCGGGATAAAGACTTCACTCTCACCATACCAAAATGCGCAATGTGTAATTCATGCAGAATTTTATTTCTTAATTTCATAGATATTAAAACTCGTTCCCCTCATTATGACTCCAGACTGTAGTGAAAACTCTGTTTGATCTACGTTAAATCTGAATTGTTTTCAACAACCTCACCAGTTTGTAAACCTATACTTATAGTAACTTTTGTAGAGTAGTATCATTTTTGGTATGAAAAGATAAATTGTCCTGCGACTCTTAATTTGTGTTGTAAAATTTATACCTTTCAGTGATAACTAACCGCTTTGGACTAAAATGTTCAGTTAGAACTCTTTTTAACTTCACAAATGTTTTTAATCTTGGTAGTTCTTGTGCTAATAACTCTTTTAAGACACTGTAAACTTCCCTATCAATTAGAGTAATCAATAATGGAACTTTCTTGTCTTCTTCCACTACATTACATAAAAACAACTGCTCAAGTCTTTCTAAATAAGACGTGACATCACTTTTAGTAGGATCGAATTGTTTAATGGTCCCAGTTCTTCGACTTTTATCGACGAATTCTTTCTGTGACTTATTGCCAAATATGTTGTGTATTTAATAAAGCACAGACTTACAAAGCAAAACTATTAATTTACTTATAAAACAGTTACAAATAATTCAACTAATCATAACTGCGTGGTCATTTGGAGCTGCTCATAGACATGACATAACCTTACCCAAGTATGTCTAATTTCTCCGAGGTGTATACTATTCCGATGCAGAATTAATATATAACAGATTGTGACATGTCTTTCTGTTTTTTTTTACCAACGTCTTGCAATCACATAGAAGTTAAATAGTATGTTTATCTGGGACTAAACTACAACTCATTGTAATGAAAGTTAAATTTTATAATTGATTGTTTGAAGTTTCGATTTCCATTCCGGAAATTGTTTTCAAAATACGATTTCCGGAGTGAAATTTTTATTTAAAATCTTCTGATTATAGCTATTTTTTAGGGACCTCCGGTTTAACAAGATAGAAGAGATTCCTTCGGCGACGTTCAGCGAAAACAACAAATTGGTTACTTTACTTCTTAACTCCAATCGCCTTACATCATTGCAAGAAGGCGTCTTCGATGGACTTGACAATTTACAACATCTTTATCTTTACTACAATAAGATTCGATTTATACATCCGAACGCCTTCAAAGGACTTACAAAATTGGAAAGATTGTAAGTATAATAGTTATAAGTGTGTATGAGTTTATTCACCTTGTTCTTTTTCTACAAACTGTCTAGGTCTCGAGTAGGATGAAGTGTTCCAGTAATTTTTATATAATTCATTTTTAAATTTTTAATTTGAACGTACATTTTATAAACCGACTATACATGTCTAAAAGTATAGTTTTACAATTTATATAGGTACATTAGAATTTATAAGCGCTTTCTTTTTCCAGTTACTGTTGCTTAAAGGTCGATTCAGACACATCAGTCACGTCTCGTCACAGTGATTGCGCCGAACCGAACAATCCGTCATACAAAATATTCTTTAATACAAATATGTTGCCGGCATTCACACTCATCAGTTGACAAACAGTTTCCCAGCTGTCAGATAGTTGATAGTTCTGTGACCAAATAGGACCGGTTCGGCGCCGAGACTATGACGGGACTGATGTTACAGTTCCTTTAGTCTCAAATGGTAACTGCGATCGTCCATAACTACACAGGATTAATACTTAGAAAATGTATAATTTGATCAAAATATTTAAAAACATGATAAGCCATTTCTCTATGGAAGTCTCCCGTAGAGTTGGAAACATATTCTAACAAACCTTGATCAATAAGAATATTGATAAAATTTCAATAAACGACTGAGGAAGATTCATAATCTGTTTATCTTGCCAAACTTGTCTCACAAAAAGTCCTTCCTTATTTCAAATTTGTCCATTTGATTGGATATTTTAATCATTTCTAAGAAACTTATGCTTCTTAATAAAAAAATTTTATACCTCAACAAATTATGTCGGTAATCACATTATTCTTCTTCTTTTGGTGCCTATTCGTTTCGAATATTGGCGACCATTCTGGCTATAATTATGCTTATGCTTTAAATTAATTAGTTGTTAACAAAATCCACAAGGAAAAATTCCTGTAGCTGGCTGTATACCACGTATAACAAAAAGAGGTTAATCTTTGTAAATGGGTATATTTATTTGAAATAAATATACCCATTTACAAAGATTAACCTCTTTTTTTTTAATTAGTTGTTGTTGTGGAGAAACATTTAATCAGGTTTTTTTAACCATGATATTTGTTCAATCACAAATTAATCCCTTAATTTGTAATCTCATTTTTTTCACATTTTTTCTTCACAACTTCAACGTTTTATTGTATTGATCATTGTCGATCGAGAAGAAGCGGACAAAAGGGGATTATAAAACAATTCGAACCTCATAACTACGTTCGAATCTGTCCATTGGTCCTTCGAGCCGGATCTGAACCAGCGACCTATGGATAGCTGTTTCCCAGTTCCGTACAAGATCGACGATAGAATTCGAAGTGTGGGGAAAGAAAAAATAAGTAAAAAGACTAGAAAGCACCGAAATTAGGGGTAGGAGCCTTACGAGAGCCTTTGATCATCAGAGAACCTGAATAGCCGTCCTTAAGCTTACTGTTCCAGCAGTTTAGTCAACTCCTAATCTTCTCTATTCTGCATTTTACTTCTTGTGAGGAGTGATCCTATTGTTCGTTTACTATTGTTCCAAGATAGGCAAACTGTTTTACTCGGTCCACTGGTGTATTCTTGATAAGTAGTTGGACGTCTCTAATTTTATTTTTTGCTGGTGACCATAAATTTAGTTTTTGATATGTTTACCTGTAGTAAAAATCTTTCACTTACTTCATTTACTTTATTTATTGGTTGTTGTAAACTGTTTAAACTGTCTGCAAAATAACGGTGTCATCTGCATAGCGGATGTTGTTCCATGTCTTATTCTTACCTTCTTCGTTCTTCATAAAATTGTCTTTAATGTTTTTTATCGTTTTATTAAGGGATTTTATATTTTCTTCTAATGCTTTTCGTTGTATTATCGATTTTTTTGAATTTTCTATTTATTGTTTTACTGACTATTTCTTTTATTTCACTCATCGAGCAAAAAGACAAAAGAGGGAATCTAATCGTTATGAAAAATGAGACCAAAAAAGTGGCCTCTGATGGCGGACGTATCCGAAATGCAAAGGCGCTAAATTTAAATTTTCTGACACTTATTAACAATAGCTAAGTATAAAATATTTTTCAGACGAGAAAGTTTTAATTAAATATTAACGATAATAGTCTAAATAAGTGACACAATTGGTTAAAAACTTCAATATAAAATACATTTCATGTGACAGGTGGGACAAACAATAACAACCAAACTAAATTTGATTTCTTAAACAAGGAAAGAGACTGTCTTTCCTTGTTTAAAGTGGCCTCTCAAGATGGCACTTCCTGTCTAACAATATTTTTGTCCCCACTACCTTTACATTCCCTCTTTTGTCTTTTTGCTCGATGATTTCACTACATTTCAGTTTCCTCATGTCATGGTTTTTTACAGTTTTTCGCGTGTTTTCTTTAACTTGGTTCTATATACACTCACTAAAGGATTATGGTCAGATTGAATATCAGCGCCTGAGTAGGTTTTAACACTGTTGAAATTATTTCGATATCGTTTGTTAACAAGTATATTATAGTCTATTTAGTTTCTTTTAATAATAATAACATGGATAATAACATCTTCTCCGTTGTCTCTAGATGATTTCCACGTATACAGGCGCCTAGGTGGCAGTTTGTAAAATGTGTTTAGCACGATTTAGTCATGTTCAGCTGCAAAGATACTCATATTATATTGCTTTATTAAAATTACTGCAACATTTAAGTCAAGAAATTTTTAAATGTTGAAAATCTTCGTCACCGGTTTATAACCGTACGAATCTTTGATGAAATATGGTATTCCACCTAAACAGAGGACTTGACTCCACCATCTAATGGGGAGGCAACCACATTTTTAAACAAAACCAAATCAATCAACCAAATTTTATAGTCCATTTCCATCATATTGATAGCACATTATGTATGCAAATCCCTAAACTGTTGATACGGGTGACTACAGAAGTATATAGGAAAACAATTTTAAATTGAGTATGACCACCAGGTGTAAAGGTTGAAGCAGAATAGAATACAATAGTTTTGAGGGTTACTAATCCCTAAATAAAGTTGCCAGTGTCGGAGTGATGGAGATTAACAGGTACTATGAATTTGCAAGAAATGTAAGATGTTTATTTTATTGGTTATATATAAAATAATTTGTGGCCGTAACAAGGGGCCGATTTGTAAAAAAATTAATATTATTTTAATCAAATTCCATTTCAGATTCACTGCTTTCTTCAAAATCTAAGGAATCTTCAACTCCAATGTTAATTATTACCGGTTCCAGCATTGCATCAGTCATATTATCCAAATTCCACATTTTATTTTCTAATAATTATTGTTGTTATAATTGTTGTTGTAAGTCTTCTAATTTAAAAGTTTTGTTGTTGCGTCCGACTTCACCCTTTACTTGAGACCATATATTTTCTATCGGATTCAAATCACAGTGGTATGTGGGTAAACGTAAAATAATTACATCACGGTCTAATGCCATTTCATCAATTATATATTTTTTATAAGCTGCTTTATGTTGCCTTACAATAGGTAATAATTCCTTTTTTGTCGAATTCACCTTGTACTCAATTGCGTGTTTATCCAACCATTCGATTATCTCTCCTTTTTTCCATGCCGTTGTTGGCAATTTTTTTCTGCTAGTCTTGAATGGTAACTTCAATATAAATCTAAATTATCCATGACTATGACAGAATTTTTTGGAATTAAATCCAACATTTGCTCAAAATATTCTTCAAAAACGTCAGCAGTCATTTCCTCGTGGTAATCTTTGGTTGATTTTGAGGCAAAACTTAATAATCCACCATTGACAAAACCCTCTATTCGTTTCCAGTATGGGTTATTATGAGTCTGCGTCCTTTTCCAACGGGAATATTGTTTATTCCAGGAGATACACCTTTCATGAATGACTGACGGGAACTTTTAACATTTGTATCAACCCATAGATATGGTACAGTATGACCTTCATTTAGCCAAGTCTCGTCCAAATAAAAAATTGTTTTCCTTATTTGTCTTTAATATAATCTCGTCTTCAACATACAATGTAATCTGTTTCAATTAAAACGGATTTTTTTCTATTCTTTTGCCAACGAAATCCCATCTCTCTCAATAGTCCCCATAATTTCTTGTTGCTTATGATTGGTAACTCTTTGTTTTCTCTATTTAATGTTTAGATTTTGTCCAATGTTGGAAATTCTTTGTTAAAAAAAATGAGTGGACGCTGCGTCTTATCATGTTTTTATGTATTTCTTCAATTTCAAGGGTTTACTCCCTCCACTCTTCTTGGGAGATGAAACAGTTCCTCCTTTTCTTTCTTTTAGGAATCTATAAATTGTTGCTTCTCCAACCCCTGTCATATTTGAACACATGTTAACGATTTCACGAACATTACTTAAAGGGCGTTGATGTACAAGTGCATCGTGTACATTTAATATTATATTTTTCTCTCTTAGACTGAAGGCACCTTTAAAACTACACTTAACCGGGATAAAACCTGTTGTCGACGTCATTTTTAAATGCAAATAACAAAATATCGACACCAAAAACGTAGGTAGGTAAGACATGAACAATGTACATCTACAAACTAAATGGAAGATGCAAACAATTTCTAATTTATATTATTGGCATAAGCTGTAATGTGGCATAAAAACTACTTAAACTATCATTAGTGAAGCCTTATCAGTAATTCCAGGTAATCGTTCAAAGAAGGTATTCTTTTTGTGTCAGGCGATAACTTGTATAGAAAACAATAATCACCTTTAAATTACTGTTTACATTAATTTATTTCGTGAAACATTGAATTCTCTCGTTAATCACCCGTGTATAATTAACAATAATCGTGTGGCATATATACCGACGTTTTTTACGCACAAAAAAGGTATAGTGAGATTAGTGGACACTTATTTTACAGAAGATTTTTTAAAAGATAATGAATTGTTGACGGCATCTTAAAATATTAATTTTTTTTATTTATTTCAAAACAAGTATAGGGTGACGCCTATGGTTTTTTGACCTGTTGAGGATTTGCATACAT